AAATCTGTTTTAATTTTTTTCTAAAGTTTGGTTGTGTACTGGCTGTTAAATGTTTAAGCTCTATACATTATCTTTGCTTCCTCACCAAATCATGCCCATCAAAACAAAGATCTAATTTGTGTTGTTTTCTTTGCTTTCAGGCGTAAGAAAAAGTGCATCCGCTACATGGAGGCTGGAGGTGGAGGCGGTGGAGATGATGGGAACCAGTCCGACGACAATCTTGGTTCGTGTGGCAGTGTGGGTGATGGCGATGCACACACTCCTGTGGATGACGACGACGACGATGATGACGGAGACGAGTCAATGTCACAGTCTCATTCGCTGTCCAGTCCTGGTGGATTGAGTGGGCTGTCGAGTTTGACAAGCCCTTCCATGATCCTACCAAGCCCCAGTACAAGCCTGGCGAGCCCCTCGGTCAGCCTGGCCAGCCCCTGCATGAGCCTGCAGTCCCCCCTTACTCCGTTAGAGTATGAGTGCAAACCCCCGCCACTGCCATTGCCGCTCCCCCTCCCCATGTACAACCATCACTCAGCAATCCTAGGGCCTCCCTTACATCGACATCCAGTCGGGACAAATCCTCACGACATCAACAATCCGTTGAGTGTGAACCAATTGACTGGCAAGTGCAATAAGACAGAGACTATTAGCAGCGCCAGCAGTGGTGGAAGTGGGGGGCCCAACGGGCAGGGCCCAGGCCCTAGCGCTCCAGCACCTGCGCCTTCAAACATCATCAGAGTCACATAGCATCGTCACGTAGCATTTAGTCAAATAGTGAGAATTCTCAATGATTCCCATCATTCATCACCGATGACCACTGTACTACCTCTCATGTTTCATTTTCACCATTATTGTAATAATAATAATTATTATCATCATCATCATACATTGTCTAAATCGTCATCAAATCATTTCATATCACCATTATTATCATCATCTGTATCTGTGTTGCTTGAAGACACTGGCAGTCTGTTAGATGTTATTTTGTTCTTTTTTTTTTTAAGTATCTATCTATATTGAAACTGTGTTTTGGTAATTTGAAACCTGAATGATGGCTTGACTACTGTCAGATATTGCGAGTGAATTTTGTGTGTTCTAATTGACACTATGATGCTTCATGATTGTGATGCCTATTATTTAGTTACTTTATATGTTTAGGATGCAGAGTTGACTCTTGGGGACTAAAGGTTATACGGTCTCCAAAGCTTTCTGCGATGTCAAGTGACTGATGATGGTGTTAACTTGCCTCTGGAAATAAGAGCTTGCAAGTGTGGTCGTCACAGCCCATGGTGAAGTCAAAAATCTGTGTTCTCAAAAGACTGGACTTGTAATGTGTTATTTTTTTAAGGGAATATTAAATATGCAGAAAACCATTAACTGTAGTCAAGGGAATGGTTGGATTTTGACATCTTGAACTCCCAATCATGTCATACTGGTTTCATGTTCCTGTATCAATCTTAGAGGGACTTATCTTTTCTTCTTGGAAAAATTAGATATTATTTTACTGCTTTGAAAAAACGAACTCAAAAATATGTTTGTTACAACCCAGACTTCAGACTTAAGCTATCTGCCCACAATGCTTTTAAATTCCTGTCAAATTTGAGAGAACCAATAATACTCATATGTATGTGGCAACAGAACACATTTGTTGATTTTTAATTTTTACATTTAGATATCTCTACAGCTTTCTCGAATGCCAGTGTATGGGAATTGTGAGAAGATATAATGTGAATGTTCCTTTAGTGCCAGAGCTTGTGTTACTCGTGTGCGTTTTTCTCACAAGACCCTCTATGTTATTTAATTTTTACGAGTCTTTACCTTTAGCTTGCCAATTGAGAAATAATGTATAAACCAATTTTTAAAAAAGTGTATCTATCCTATTATGTGTTAGGCTGTTTCTTTATCCCCCTTTAATTTTATGGTTTTGAAATTGTGTCTGATTTAAAAAAAAATCCATATCACTTTCTAATGTTCTATTGTTGCTTATTTTATCAGAAGAGTTTTTTTTATTTTAAAGAGTGTTTCAATGAGTACTCACAGATAATTAAATTGTCCTCAACAAAAACAGCACATCTTTAATTATTAACAGTGTAAAAGCTATCCTCTTCTTAATCTTTCTTTGTTTGGCACATTTCATTCAGAATTTGTTAACTGGTGGCCCGGACACAACTTTCTTAATTTCTTTTATTTTCTCGTTGTTGACTTGACTCTATGTGATGTAAATTAAATTTTGATTGTTTTCTGTTGAATTTTACAAATTTACAAAAGGTTGGAATGGGGAGTGTACATATGTGAAATGAAATACCTAATAAGATGGCATGTAATGTTTTTTTAAGAATTTTATCTGTGTGTATGCATATGTAATTTACCTGAGTGGCATTGAATGAGTCTGTGTCCCCATCTGCTAGATGATATGATAAAAATTGTAAAGTTCAGCAGGTGAGAGCACTGGAACATTCTTTGTGAGGAGACACATGTACGAGGGCATGTTTGAGGTCTCATCACATTAAACATGGATTGACTGTGCATGTGTGTTTTCACAAGTGTGAATGGATAGGTGTGAGAAAGTACACGCCATAACCTTTGATTAAGAAAATGTATTTTGAGTTCCACATTATCATGTCACTAAGTTACCGTACAAATAAGTGCTCATAGCCCTTTCAGTAATCTAAAGAATTGCAATGAATCTGTTGTGGAGAATGGTGCGAAACCTGAAATATTTGGCTGTTATTGAGTTGTCAAGTCAATTTCATTGAGTTACTCAGTAATTAAAAAAGTTATCTTTGTTCTTTGAGCATGTATGGCTGATGGGGTTATAGCAGACATCATGTCACACAAATACATAATCTAGGTTTTTTTTATACCATTTTTCAAATGCTACATTGAATTATGTTGTTCTTATGTTGCCATGTCTATTTTCGTTTTATTTCCCAGTAGGTATAAGATTAGATTTCTTTTTTATGTCAAAGAGTTCATTTGTTAATTGTTTTTATGTGAGTGATTGGGCTGTCTTCATGTGATATCTCAATTTTGTGTAACTCTTAGTTCTTTCCATTTTACATAAATAAGCCTGCTTATTGTAATAGTCTTCATATGTGTAATGGTCTCTGTAAGCCGCATAGGCACTACCAGTGCTATCAAATGAATCTTGGAATACTTATTTGTGTTGATGTTTTATGATCTAATTTACCCTCAAGTGCGTTTGTCATGGCTGTGCCTTTCAGATATACTTGATTCAATATTTCTTCCAAATCAATCAGTACATCACATAGTCTGTACTTTTCATTATCAGTATACCTTTCCTACATAAAATTTCTCAAACCCTTTTTTCCCCCCTTTTAATGTGCTTAAGGCCAGGTTCTTAAGCAAGCAGACCAAGACACACAGAATCTATGCTGCCCTCTGTTAGCAAATGGCATGTTATCCTTTTCTTAAAATGGAATCTGACAACTATTGCACTACTTTACATGCAGTTCTAAAAACAATATAGATAAATGGAGCTGAACAAAATAATAAATCAAGTAAGATGAGGACTTTCTGTTTCCAAATTTGTACAAATTTGCTCACCAGCAGCTGGAGTGTTTTTCTTATTGCGGAAATTCAGAATGGCTATAACTCTTAAAGACATTGCTCGATGCTTCATAGCTGCAGATCTCGTAAAAGTTCAAAGGAACTCTTATAATACCTGTGTAAAAGGATAACTATCCCTAATCCTCCACATTTTGGTGGCATATATCAGTAATGATTACAGAAAGTATTAGGTTTTCAATTGTGAAAGAATTTCCTGGTATAGTAGTTGCCACAAAAATGTCATTTGAGTACATGTCAGTTATTTTAGTTTGGGTTCCTCAGATCTCATTATCTATAGTGGTAGGCTATGTCAGCTTTTAAAGTAGATATGCTCTCTTCTCCATTTGACAAAACATTTTCTGGGCTTGTTTGGCTGATTTAGTGGATGCTTTGTCTAAGAAAACAAATAAGTGAAGAAAGGGTCTGTGCTCCATATGGTCAACGAAAAACATTTCATGTACTTCTTTTGTTTAATTTATTAACAACGATTTTGTGCCAAATCCAATAGTTGTTAATCTAAACACAGCAAGCATCTCAAGATAAATCGACAATCGCCTGTTGTTTCTTGTACCTGTGAACTTATGAGAGGCCAAAGTAAAGTTGTCTTCTACATATCATTTGAAATGGGAGTTTACAATATTCAGGATTACTCTCCACTTTCTCTTAAGTGTCTGCCAATGCCGCTGCTAAAATTTAGAAAATGATCATCTACTTGAAGAATGGGGAACTAGTCATTCATGTTTTAGGAAGTGATACAACGGTTGGTTAAACAGAAAATTAAACATTTTAAGTACACTTTCAATAGCAATTTTATGTATCCCAAAATTTGAAGATTGTATGCCTTTCAAAATCTCATTTGTACAAGCTGCATTAAATGATTCATTTTTATAAAATGAATGTAAATACTTAAAGGTCATAAAGCTACTCTCATTACCTTTCAGAGGCTGAGAAAATATTACAAATTGTTATATGTATGTAGTTCTTGTAAAAAAAATCATATTTCTATATGTCTTTAGTGTAATGTGTATCAATAGACTCAAATAATGTCCTTCAGATTCAAAACTGCATCTTCAATTTTTTAGGAAAGAACAAGGTTTTGATGTTGTAAAATGTATGTTGTATAGAACTGAGATAAAGTATGCAGCTATTTAAAGAAACAAAAACATGAAATAGTGTTGAATCAACATTATGTATCTCATGTGTATAGTTAGGTATGTACCATAACAGCATTAAAATGAACACAGAAATTAGTGTGTTGCGAAATTGTGTCTCTTGTAGAATCTGGGAGTGATCATTATTGTCATATCTCATCAGATTTTAAAACTGTTGTTTAGTAAAGCAACATTGATTTCTATGAATACCTTTTGTAACTCACATGCTTCCTGTATCCCTCATCACAAAAAAATAATCAAATACTTGATCGAATACATATATATTATTACTGCTCTAAAAAAAGAGAAGAAAAGTATGAAAGGAAAACTGTTATAAAAGTAAGCTATTTTGCCAATTTTAGCCTTACAACAAACTCAGAAACTCACAAGGTTTCTCACACGCCAGGCGAGTATGTTGTACGGAAATAATATCAACATTTTATTCTTGGCTGTTACATCACGTAACACTGTGCCAATCATTTAAAACGAATAACCACAAGCAGAGTGGCTCATCTTACTTAGATCTTCAACATAAATTTGTAATACAATCAGTTTGAAAATAACGAATAGAAACATTCTAATAGAAGTATTCCGTCTGAAGACAAATGAGCAGGGCCCAAGACGCCTTATGCTCGGTTAAAATTTTGCCTGTAAGCCACCCCCACAAGGAACGTCATCCAAGCCCCTCCCTCGCACACATCATGGGCTCATAGGGGGGTCTGCCGTCCGCCGCCGGCTTCACTCAGCTGCCTGCCGGGTTGTCCTACCCAACGCGTTAGCAGGCGCTATTATCGTCTCTCTCTCTTTCACCCAGGTAATGGGTACCCACCCGCCCGGGCAACGTGTCCTAGTGGGGCTCGGAGGTCCTAAATAATTTTTTGTCAGTCCTAATACTGGTGCTCAGTCAGTCCGTGTCCTAAAAGCTGTTTCCATTTAGAAAGAAGTATACGTTTTACTGCAAAATTGCCCACCTGCGTTGAGTCGGGGGAACCATACCCCGCCGTCGGCAGCTAGAGTGGCATTTCCATCCAGAAATGCTCCATCTAGAGGACGTCTAGAGTGTGTCTAAGTTCTATACTCGAACCATGTAGACGTCTACGTAGACGTCTACTTGAAACACTGAAGACGTTCTCTAGAGGGAGCCGTTGCGCTCGCGCACCGGACGGGATGCCTACCTGACAGGCTGTTCGGACGTTCTTGTGTTTAAATGGGTAAAATAGACATGCATGAACTTTCTGAAGAGGGGAAACGTTGGAAATGAGTCGTCAACTGTAGGAACAAGCCGTTTCATTCTGGCCGGCACACCAGTAGATTGAATGGCGCATGGCGCGCCCCATCGTTTGATCAAGTGGCTCTCACTAGCGCACTCTACCCAGTGTGGCCAACAGTGCGGATGGAAAATACTCCAAAAGGGAAAGTGGTTAGGCTGGTGTGTGTGTTGTTTGGTTTCCTAACCTGACTTCAAACAAAGTAACAAAAACTTGAAACGAATTCTGGCCGGCGAAAACGAAGCGAGCGAAGGTGCAACTCTGGCGAGCCTGAAAAGGGATTGTGTAAAGGATTCGAAAATTCTTCAGTGGACGTTGAATAGCATTAACCCTTAGCGTTTACCCCTTTCATTTGAAGTGCTTGGTATTTGGTGTTTTTGGATACAAACATGCAAAACTCCATTCAGTTATACGATTACATACTTGACAAACCAACGAAAAGGGTAAGAAACTGACATTTCATTTATGATTCTTATCACAATTAATTGACAGTATTTGAAACTTTGGCTTTACCTTTTTCTGTGGAAGTCCGTTTTGTACATTTTTGCTCTCTGCGAATTAATTTTGTTGGTTGTGTTCACAATTATACATGACATCAACCTGTTACTTTCTCACTTAAAAATTTAAAACTTTTTTGACAGTTGGAGTTGATCGAAAATACAACTGATGATGGGGGTTCCGACATACCTGCTTCTGTTGACGCATTTCTCTCTTCAGTTGTGGAAGCCTACGGCATGGTGGGTGAAATGACATCCTCAGACAAGCAACAGGTGGCCCTACGTCTCGCCACTGTGAAAGAGAAGGGAGTCCAGTGTAACCATGAAACGGTGTGATTCTATTTTCCTTTACTTTCCATTTGCTTTCAGAAATATTCTACCATATTGATATTCAAATTATTCTTTTTGTTTTAGATTGGTGGATCATTCGACAGTGTGAAGTGGAAGTGCATTGTTAAAGGTATAATGGAAACACTTTCCAACACTGTGGAGAGTTCCCGGAGAACCCAAATGTTGAGACAAGTTCAACTCTGTGAGCACAATTTGAATGGCATTCTCAAAGGTGAATTTATTGAAATTATTGTGATAGAGTTCAAGGTAAATATAACAAACATTTTCCCTCCCCTTTTCTTTTTATCTGACTAGAAAGCCAGTTCTTTCTATAGAATCTGCTTTGTTTTGTTTCCTTCTTTGCAGCGATTACTCATGAACACTGCTCGGCTTCTTGAGTACATTCACAAGTATATCAGTTGGGGCACGCTAAAAGGTCTGAGAGTACAAAATACACTGCTGCTTTGTGCTTCTCAAATCCAGAAACTATTTCCACTTCTCCTTCGTGCCCTTGAAGCTGCTCATCAATTATCCGAACAATGTATTGTAAGAGCATTATTTAATACTGTTTACCATTGTCTTGTTTTAAAAGTCTTGGATTTTGAAATTAATCTTATTTTTTTCCAGGAGGCCAAGGATTACATGGTTCAACGTATGAAAACTTGCTTTTTAAAAATTAAAAATATTATTAAGGGCGAAGTTGTTGAGGAGCTTGATGAATCTGATGATTTGGGAGGGGGCTTGTTCATCTCACACATGGACCAAGCACTTTCACTTCTTGCAGTTTTTGATTCCAATTCTGAAAGCTCTGCTTCGAGCTGCCAATGGAAGTTGTCAGTAGAAGCATTATTACAGCATGCAATGTCTATTGCCCAGATTGCCTCCCAGTTTGACTTTAAAATGATACATGCAAGTGGAGAAAAGGTATGTAATTTTCTTTAATCATTTTATTTTGTTGTGGCAGTATGAGGATTAATTTCATTTTATGCTCTCTAGATTTTGCGAGAGTCTGAAAATCTTGAAAAAGAATGTAAGGATCCAAGTAGTAATCCATCAGTACGCAAGCTTCATTCCCTTTCCTTGTCTAATGCTCTTGAAGAGCTAGAACAGAGAGTATGTGCCTGTGTTCTAAAGATGTACCTCCAGGTAAGTGCTGTTTTTCTTTCTCTCCTAATTCTAGTGGGTCTTTAGAAGTTTCTTATTTAAACATCACACTTTGGTTTCTTTAGGTTTTTTCAGACCCATACTTGCCCTTGCACACATTATGCATGCAAAGCTCAGAAAATCAAATGGAAGGGAATCCAAGAAAAGCGGATGACCTCTCAGGTGCAATATCTAACTTTGATACTCACACAGACAGAATATTGCAGGTCGCAGTTTTTGCAATTGCTTGTTCTGAGGATAGAAATCGTAAGCAATATGTGATCATAAACTAAGGTTGCAATTTGTTCCTATCCGTCCCCTTTTTATTTTTGTTCTGATCGAATCTGTTCTAGGTGTGTTAGGCATTCGCAGTTGCTTAGCATCCTTAGAATCTCTTGAAGCTCATTTGGTTCCAGCTTTGTGCACAATGTACTTGAAACAAGTGCCAAAGCAGCGTGTTCTTGCAAGTCTATTAGTGGAACACTGGAAGTCTGAAGTGAAGCTGATGAGACAACTAATCGATGGTATCATCGACCCTGCGGCCTTAGCGCAGGTATTATTTTGTTTTATTTCTCTCTTAACTACTTAGCACAGTGTTTATTTTAAAAAATTCTAAACAAAAATAATGATGTGTCAACCTTCCATCTAGGTAACTCACAATGTCATTTGGAATCCAACGGCTATTATCAAAAAGTCAATTATGACAGGTAGAACACTCGAACAAAGTGAACTGACAAAGTTAGTAAAATCTGTTGTTTCTAATTCTGAGGTCTTATCAGACCAACTGCAAGCTTCAGCTGAAGAGCTTGGTTTTGTACAACATACACTGGCCTGGAGTTCATTGAAAGATTTAATCTTAGGTACACTGCTCTGCAAAATCAAAATAGATTTTTTTCTTCTGATATTATTTTATGGTGTTTATGTAACATGTCTTTCACTTAAACAGCTGTTAGGGAAGGAAAAGCAGTTTTGAGAAAGATTGAGGAATTAGACCTTTCACTCAGTGTGGATCGGATTCTAAAACGTTGTGAACTTTTAGTTAGTTGTGTCGGAAAAATTCAACCACTTTTGGAAGAAATTGATGATCCTGAACCCAAGAACAGTTCTCCTCAAAATGTTGAATGTTCTTTAAGGCCTAGGGCTGAAGCAATGCCTAGTAAAACTTCAGCAATTAAACATAGAAGTATGTGTAGTTTTAAATAAACTATGAAGATGATTATATCTGTCATCAATTAACCATTTCCTTGTTTTATCTCTCTTATCCAGGTTTGAAGAAACATTTGATACGTCTTGGTTTACCATCAGATGCAGAGATTGACTTAGACACCACAGATTCAGCAAATCAGTTTGATCTCATGCACTCTGTAATGGACAAAACGTCAGCACAACCTAGATTTTTGACAAGCTTTTTGTATAATGTAAGAGTCAAGTGTATTTTACTTGACTACTTAGTACGGAACATAAACATAATATATGAAAATATAACTTAAAATTGTACTTTCTTCTTGTTTCAACAGGAAAAGAGGAAATCTAGCTTCCAGAACACAACGGCTATGTCTCGAAGTTTTCATATTTTTAGTCGAAAGCTTGCTACACCTGGCGTTAATATATTGCAACAAACACTTTCAATAGATGTACCCAGTAAGAGCAGAATTTTTCTACTAAATTGTAATTAAAACCTAAGAGTTCCTCTAATTTTTAAAATATTTGTTTCATACAGAGTTGGCTGGTCTATCAGAAACGCTGAAGTGTAAAAGTAATTCAACTCAACCAATACCGCCACTACCACAGCGAAGGTTTGACCATACTGAGAAGGATTTGGAGGGTGAAAATGCATCTGGTAACATAGATACACCTGAGAGAATGCAAGATTTAATTCGAGTTCAGAATAGGATTGATTTTGTCAAAACTTCCGCCCAGTGTGATCAATCACTATTCAGCCATCTAGTTTTATGAGCTGAACTTATCTTATACAGGTTCTAAATTGAATAGGGTAATATATTTTGATATTCATTAGTTATTTTTGTGTTTAAATTTATGATTTTGCTGTTTTTGTTGAAGAGGTTTTATATGGGCCAGTGGTAGATTTTTGCCAGTCTTTATTATAACTACATAATAGTTCTATTATATTACAAAAATTTCTTGTGACTTCTTAAATTTTATTCACTGTTACTGTTGATGGCAAATGTCTACCATGTTCACTCGATAACATTAAGAATACATTTGTCATGTTATCCTGAAACTGAAATTCTCTTTGATTTCTTGCGACAATATTAGCTATGCCGTCGCACCGATGTGAACCACATCGAAATAAATATCATTTAACTTAACGCTCGGATCAGCTTGGCCCGTCTGTTCACCCCATCCCTCCGCGTGCTTTGGTCCGCTGCTGCCTCGGCAGCGCGCACGCCTCGAAGTGGTCCAGGAACTCGACCTGGGTGGCGGGGGGGAAGATCCTGCCGCAGGCCGGGCACGTGACGTCCTGGCGACAGCGGGTCGCCGTCGACGCCGGCGTCCGCGGCCCCCACACCTCCTCCGGCCAGCGGGGGGCGGCGGGGGCGGGTGGCGTCCTGGGGGCGGGGGCGGGCCGCACGCTGAAGGAGGTGACGCTGGCGAGCCCCGCGCTCGTGAAGCCCACCGTCAGCGTGCCCTGGGGGACAGACCGCGAAGTCAGCAGAGGGCGGCGAGGTCGGCACGCCCGGGCGGGCACTCCGCCACCCGGACCCGGCCGCACTCACCGGATGGGGTTCAACGCGGCCCTCAAAAGAGCCGGAGCCCGACCCCGCGCTCTATCCAGCGGAACGGGTCCGAGCGACCGCGAGCGTCTGCAACGTTCTGGAACATGGTGAGCACGGTGTCGGCATGGTGACTCGTGTAGGGGAGGGGAGGAGGCGGTGGGTTCTGTCTGCTAGGCGTATAGTGAAAAGGGGGCTTAAAAATTATTAAGGACAAAAAATAACAATAAAAATAAAGGAATAGTTGGGCACATGCAGCTAATAACTTATTAGCACCAGTTCTCCTTGTTTTGGGGGTTGTGTTTTTTCGAGTGGGCCGAATAGCACAGTGAGTGAGTTTAGCACTAAAACTCCAAATTAAGTGTTTTACAATGATCGCGAAATCAAATCGCAGTCGGGAAAGATTCATACTCTCTACCTCGCTACACAAAAAGATCTCGGGTGGGCCTGCCAACGTACCTGCACGGGGGAGGGCGGCGAGCAGTCCAGGGTGGCGTCCGAGCACATGGACATGTCCGCGTCGGGGGTGGTGGCCCTGCTGCTGCTGGGCACGTCGATGTGCGGCGCGGGGCCGCTCGTGCTGCCCACGGAAGAGCAGGAGCCGCTCAGCTCCACCGGGTAGCCCGGCTGGTGGCCCGGCTGGTGGCCCGGCGGCGGGCTCGCGGGCGTCGGGGCCAGCGCGTCGGACAGCGCGGGCGAGGCGGCGCGGCGGGGGCCGTCGTGCTGCAGCCGCAGCGACTGCCCGTCGAACGAGTACTGCGTCGACGGCGTCCTGGGCCGGCCGACCTGCGGCGGCGGCGGCGGCGCACCGTCCGTCACCAGGTCGTGGTAGGTCGTCCGTGGAGGGCTGTCCGTCAGCTGAGGACGGGAGAATCAGTACTACAGTCAAACACGCGGCCGATTCGCTTCACTCCACACATCCCCGAGGCACTCACCGAGCTCAGACACGGGCTGGCGCTGCGCGGGGAGCTGGGCGGCGAGGACCACAGCTCGCGGCCGGGCTGGGGCCGGCTCGGGGGCGGCGCCTGCTGGTCGCAGCTGGAGGACGCGCTGCACTGGCAGCCGCAGTCGGGGGACTCGCCACCGGCGAGCTGAGGAGCACCAACAGATTAGTAACATGGCAACATAGGTCCTTCCCATCCCCTTGGCTGCGACGGCGCGAACCCTCGCGTCGTGACCAACTTTAACTTCAGCGTTGGCTGTTGGCTTACGACTGCACCGCTTCATGGCGAACCTGAGCCACCCGTAACTTTTGGATCACGCAGTGACGGGCCTCCAACTACCACGGGATACTGTAAAGGGATCGTACTCTCTCAGATCCATTGTCCGGGAGCTCGGAGCGCCTGCGAGACTCGGGGTAGGCCGACCCGCGGTACACGCATGCACTGCAGTGGAGAAGTTGCCTACCTGCCAGGCGTTAAGGGAGCTTGAAAAGCATCATCTGGGGATTTGAAAAGTCTGTTTCTCCCCGGAAAAATTGAAAACTTTTTCAGAAGAAAATTGGAAAAAAATCAA